AAAATTTATCAATTTTTCTTGACAAAAATTATTACGTGTAAGAATTGTAATAGCCACAGGTAAAGTGAGAAAATGAATATATATTTTTTCACGTAATGTTTCTCAAGACTACAGGACTTGTATATAATAAAAAATTTCTAAATTATGTGGCTTTCCATTGCATAACATCTTTCAATGATCTCGGTTTTCTAGCAAAATCTGCAGGTGTAGTGTTTCGAAGTAAAATTAGTAAATGCGATATTTTATTTTTCGATCTTGTATTTAAGCGTACTGAAAGTGGACCTTTCATCCAAAGTAATATCATTTTCTTCATAACTCCTAAACATATCAGGTGCATATAATCTAACGGTGTGTTAGTTAATGGTAGAAATTTTGGAATATTATTTAAAATAGAAAAACTAATTTGAAAATTTTGATAGGCATTAAGTGCAAACAATTCATCTGTTCTTAGAGGATAATTCTTTTCATATGGGAAACAGATTCTACCATTTGTATATTTACCTTTAACCAAACATTTAGTGCAACTATAAAATCCAGTATGACCTTTAATACACAGTGCAAAAAATTTAGCCGGTGCATCACATATTAAAGCAAATAACGAGATATTAATTACGTTTCCGTTATTAATATAACCATTATTAATTAAATCATGTAAATCGTTAACCAAAGCCTGCAGAAAAATATTGGAATTATTAGGTTTTTCATATCCAAAGTATGCACCGACAAGATATACTGTTTTATTAACTGTATTAGAACATAGAATGGTCCAGAAGGATGCTTGAGATGATTTTGCTAGTGGCAGACCGTCAATATGTATAATTAAATTAAAATATTTATCATTATTTTTTAACAGCATTTTTGTAATAATATCGTGTATACCAAAATGAAAATATTCTCCTCCACATAGTTGTACTATATTTGTTTGTTTTGGAGTTTGTAACAATGTTCGAGTATCCATAGGTAAATTATACGATGTATATTGTCTCAAAATTTTTAATAATGCATTACATGCACTGTGAGGAATATTATAAGACACGGACCATGTAGCTATATCATTTCTAAATTTATTGTCATCATTATTGTCACAAGTTTTTTCTATTTCTTTTGTAATAGGCCTGCGATTTTGATTTTGATTTGTCATAGAAAAAATTGTAGAGTTATGATTATCGCTATTTACTTGATTATCGCAATTTACTTGGACATCACAATGTTGATACTGGGTGTATATCAGTTGGACACGGGGCAATTGGACACAGTCCAATCACAAGTCGCTGTTCCAAGGGACCCTACAAATGTCTCTAATCACACGGTGCTGTGATTGGCTGTGTCCAAATGCACCGTGTCCAAGTGCACCGCTCCCGTTGATACTTATTATTGTCCTCTGAAATTGTACAGTCAATAAGTAATGTATTATTATTAAGCGTATTACTAATATTGAAGTCTTTAGCTGTTTCATCATGAATATTTAAATCAAAAGTAGGTTCAGAAATATTGATAGTATATACATCTAAAATTGATTGTGAACAGCCAGCGATATCTATTTCTGTATTATTTGCAATAATACGTCTACTTTGGCGTTTAGAAACAAATTTTTTTTTAGGTGCTTTATACATATTTACTATAATAAAAATAATTACATAAATATCACTGTGGAAAAATATAGATACATATTAGCAGAATATTTACAAAACCATATAATAGAATAACAACTATATAATAGATTAAAAATAATACACATATATATATATATATATATATATATATATATATATATATAT